GACGGGGGGAGATCATAATGACCCTTTGGTTATTACAATGGACATCAATGGAGCTGATGTGGCCAGGGTCCTGGTTGACACAGGAAGCAGTGTCAATGTTCTATACTTGGATGCTTTCAAGAAATTGAAGCTGGACAGGTCCATGTTGAGACCGTTGCAAACTCCATTGTCAGGCTTCACTGGAGCTAGCATAGAAGCGGAAGGTCAGATCACCTTACCAAACAAATGAGATTTGTTGTGGGATTTGTTGTGGTCGACATCAAGTGTGTGCATAATGCCATTCTGGGTAGGCCTGGGATCAACCAGGTCAGGGCTATTATTTCCATGGCACACTTATGCATGAAGTTTTACACTCCCAATGGAATCGGGGAGGAAAGGGGTGATCAAAAGAACGCCCGGTCCTGCTACCTGGAAGCAGTCAAGAAAATGACCCGCCAATTCGAACAAATTGATTTGGTCTCCCAGCAAGTAGACAAGGGAGAAGAGAAGGCTAGAATCGAACCGGATGCAAACACGGAGGAGATCCAGATTGATTCCTCCAATTCTGAGAGGAAGGTCAAGATTGGAGCTGATCTTCAGGAAGAGCTAAGGACTGAGATTGTCCAGGTGTTGACCAGGTATAAATCATTATTTGCCTAGAGTGTTGCTGATATGCCCGGGATTGACCGGTCAGTCATTTGCCATCGTCTCTCTGTTCTTGAGGGGTCTAGGCCTGTAAGACAGAAGAAGAGATTTTTGGCAAGTGATAGGAGGGACTTTGTGAAGAAAGAGGTCAAGGACCTACTTGAGGTAGGTCATATCAGGGAAGTAAACTACCCTGAATGGCTGGCCAATGTGGTCCTGGCCCCGAAGGGTGATACTTGGAGGATGTGCGTGGACTACACAGACCTCAACAAGGCATGCCCGATGGACTCTTATCCTCTGCCCAGCCCGGATCAATTGGTGGATGAAACTGGCGGGTGTGAGTTGCTCAGCTTCATGGATGCCTTTAAAGGGTATCGTCAGATCTTCATGGCGGAAGATGACGAGGAAAAGACGGCCTTCCTCACCCCGGATGGGACATACTGTTACAAGGTGATGGCCTTTGGGTTGAAAAACTCAGGGGCGACCTACCAGAGGATGGTCAACAAATTGTTCAGGCCTTTACTTGGACGGACCATGGAGGCCTATGTCGATGATATGCTAGTGAAAAGCAGGACATCCAACACACACGCTCAAGACCTGGAAAAATGTTTTGAGATTATGGCTAGGCATAATCTTAGACTTAATCCAAAGAAGTGTGTTTTTGCCGTAAGGACGGGGAAGTTCTTGGGCTTCATGGTTACGAAGAGGGGGATTGAGCCAAATCCTGAGAAGATCAAGGCCATTGTTGAGATGCAACCCCCAACCTCGGTAAGGGA